ACAAGTTCAAGTCTACAGTTCCCCACACAGTCATGTGAAGACCATGCCTTCATGTCCTTGTTCACTCCAAAACCATTTGCAGGCCATATGAGGAAGTCCGCTGATCCTAGAAATACTGAAGCAAAGAGACAATGCTGATCCTGTTAATCAAGGATAGATGAGGTTCATTCATTTCTCCTTCTATAAAAACCTTATATGGGGCTGGGGATGTAGCTCAGCAGCACAGCGCGTGCCTGGCAAGCACAAGGTCCTGAGTTCAATTCCCAGTACCCCCTTAAAAAAACTTACGTTTCTAGCTTAGAGACTAAAATAAAGTAGTATACATAGTTTTTAATTATATACAATTGGTATATCAGCATGTGTATGTTTAGAAAATGTTGCATAAATATATATACATATTGATGTGTGCATAAAATATGATTGAAATTTCAAAAATTTCCTCTACTTAAGTGCATACTGTCATTAATCTCCCTCAGACCCTCCCCCCAATTCAAATACACGTATGCCGTCATCCTGGCTGCTTCTGAAGCAGTTCTGGAAGGCTCTTTTCATGTTTTTGCACAGCTGTGGCTGTCTTGATGTCCAAGACTGACTCAAAATACTTGCCTTTCATGGTTGTTTTGACTTTGGTGGACAGCCTGAAGTCACATGCACCAAGATCTGATGGACAAAGTGGCTGAGGACACACCGGAACGTGCATGCAAGCCAGCCTTACATCGGGTGACACTCGGCAGCAGTGCTCACTGTTTTTAAATCTCATTTCATGCATACACATGTATGAGAGGACTTCTTCAGAGGGTGCCAGAGGACAATGGCATAAGCATACTCAGCATACACAGCTACCCCCCTTATTTATTTATGGGCATTGGTACAATTCAGGCATACATAGTGACCATACTCACCAGAGGGCATTTGAATGTGCTCATGGTAAATCTTGATGCTTCTTTTTGTCCCCATTCCCAGTCCTCTTTTCAAACCCCCTTCCCCTTCCTGTTCATGGAGTTCGGTGTTCATTTGATCCTTGTTTTCTCGCTTCTTCTTTCCCTTCCTTCCTCTCCTCTGCCCCTCCCTAATCCTCCTGTTAATGGCAATGCATGTTTCACTGTGTTTTTGCTTCAACATTCACTGTGTTTTTCAGTCGTGTCCCTCACTACAGATGTTCACCAGTGGGCCAGGCAGGAATGAGTATGCCCACCTCGCTTGTGGAGACACGGGGCAGGTTACCCAGCGCTCCTGGGAGCACAGTGGCTTTTTCTAGCACTGCCCTTCCAGAGTCCATGAAGCCTGGCCAGCGCTTCTCTCTGTGCGGCGTGATGAGAGCAGGCCAGGAGCACGTCCCCATTCCCTGGGCGCAGGTGACAGATGGTGAATCCTGTCACAGTACAACACCTCCAGGATGTAGACTTCAACGATTTTAAACTCAAGAGCTTTCAAGGAAGACGGGTTGAGCCTTGGCACTTATACCAGCTCAGAACTCTGGACAAGTTCCTTATCTGAGCTGGCTTACGTGAAAGGGACACGTAATGATCATCCTGATCACACGCAATTGTTGGAAACTTAAGTGAGAAAAGGTATACAAAATGCTTCTAAGAGAACTTAAAACGTAGTAGAGCCCTTGCAGACACCCCTACACTGAGAGTTCCTCCTACCACAGCACAAGTCATGGGGTTTCTCGCTCTCCAGAAAGATGTGGTCGCTTCCAGAATGCCCATCTCAGCCAGGGATGTGCTGGGTGGGGGCACTTAAAGTCTCCAGCCCTGGTGGCGCAAGATCTCCCCCTCCACAGGGCTTCGCTCCAGAGCGTCCAGCTGGGCGCATCTGGCTAGGGAGATTAAATTATTTTTGAATTCCTAACTGAATGTTCTTTTAATGGAAACTTAATGACAGGCATTGAAATAGATTTCCTCCATAACCCCTCCTCCCATCGTGTCCCCCCCGCATGGCCCTGCGTCGCACAGATCCCGATAACCTTTATTCCCGACCCCTGGACTTTTATCTCCCCAATGACAAACAACCCTTGCTGGACAGAAAGAGGAAATTCCAGTCATTGTTCTCAAACTTCTGGCTTCCAAAATAAAATGCTCTATCTCCCCTGTCAAGCTTTGATTGACACACACTTCCTGTAATGGCAGACTGCAACGGCCCAGGGGCGGGGCCGAGGCTCATTTGCATTCTTTCCACCACAGCTTTAACTAGGTTTGTGCTACACAAAGGTCGGTGTCCCCATGCCATTCACAGAAGCCCCTGTTGAGGACTCAACTCTTGTTTCATGAAACTAAGGATGATGCGTGCTCCAAGGAGCCTGCAGTCCCCTTGGTCAGATTTTCTTTATGGTCTGCTGTGGAGATGGCAACAAGACACCCTGATCACCTCACTTCTTCCATTTGGCTACTCAAAGACTCTTTTCCTTCTGTCCTTTATTAAAGGCAGTCTCCCAAGTCTCCACTCAAAATATTGGCCCTTGGGTCAAATTCTCCAAAGTTAGAATCACCATAACAACAGAGAAGCCCTCCCAAAGAAGGAAAAAATTTGAATATAATAATGCATTGGGGAATATAGGGTTTTTTTTTTTAAGGAAATAAGAAAGACAATTGCTTTTGAATGGAAAATCAGTAAACATGGCAATATAATACACCTATGACTAATGATAGTGCTGGTGTTGTCAGGTCTTATTAGGGAAAACATTACTGCATGGGAATAAAATGGCTATCCTCGCTTTGGCCTTAGCCTAGAGGCAAGCTGGCCTTCTGGTGCTTTCCCGTCTGGGTTCTTTGCTTGCCTAGTCCTCATGCCCTGTAATCCCTTCTCTCCAAATGCCGAGTTCCCTGTGCTGCTTTTAGATTCCCTTTAGAATTATCAAAAGTTACCTTTCCCAGGTTAGTTTCTAAAGGGCGTTTATTGGAATGCTTAATGATTGTTGGAGGTTCATTGGGAATGGGTATTAAAAAGAAGTCTTCGATCTAACCATGGAGTAGTTTGATCCAAATAATGGAATATTTGGAAGCAAGCAAGTTTTCCATAGAACAATCCAGAAAAAAAGACTTAGCGGAAAGGTTCTGGGCATTCACTGCCCTTAACAATCAAAGAGACTGGGCTGCTCCTGAGCACTGTTCTTCCACCCATCCCCAAGCCTGCTGTGAGGGAGCGGGGAAGACCAGGGGGCTGAGCTCACATGTGAAGGACCTGAGTCAATATATTGCCCCTCCATTTTATAAATGGAGATAGGGCCATAAAACCTCTTGCTAGGAGCAGCAGAGAAGTCCAGCTTCTTCAAATTTGGGATACCTGACTTGTTTTAGCCTTGTCAGCAGGTAAATTCTGGTCTCAAAACATTTTCAAGCCAGGGTAAACTCCCAGCAGCCAGTTGTGTCCTCTGCTTTGGCCACTGACAACGTGTGCAGCCCTAGGCCCACCAGAGCTCCCAGTGGTCTGCGTCAGAAGGACAAGAGTGCATGTATGAATCTATAGAAACTCCCATCCAAGCGAAGACAACCACTACAGGACCACCTGCCACAGCTGCTGCTGTGCAGACTGACCGAGCTGCACCAGAGGGGAGTGTCCTCAGCCCAGCTCATTTCCTGCTGGGCTCAAGACAATCAGTGCATCCTATCTGCCTGCTTCCTCCCCACCGGTTCTGTGCTTTGCAGGAAAAAGGCCACCCCAAGCAAAAGTATTTTCCTCAGTTGCCCTGTCACATTGAATGCATAAAAACGGACAATAGAAAGCACGCATGCAGTTTCAAGAAATTTAATATATTAATTAACACACTGGATCATTTTTGATTCCCAAGCATTTTGATCTCCATTTTTCCCGAGATAGATTTACAATAATTCAGGTAGGGAACTATGCAGTATGTTCATGCTAAAACCTTCCCCTAAGGGACAATCCTTCCATTAGGTTGGTCACTTTTAGGAACACGTGGGGGTGGCTTGTAGAGACAAAGGCCTCAAAATGTTCTGAATGGGAGGCTACACTTTTTGCTTTCCCTTTCCACTTCAGAAATAGTGTTTCAGGGCAAAGCCTAGGCACAGCAACTCAAGAAACTTTTTTTTCTGGTACCAGGGATTGAACTCAGGACCCTGCACTTGCCAGAAGAAACTTTAACGATTAGCATTCTGTAGCCTTTTTTTTTTTTTTAAATCTTATTTTATTTTATTTAGGGAAGGGTCTACAGGATGCTCAGGGTCTCACTACTAGATCAGACTCCTAGTGACCTGCCTGTTTACAGCCTCCCAAGAGCTGGGATTACAGGAGTGCACCACCATGCCCAGTCTCAATTGCAGTTTCAGTGTGTCCCGGGGGCAGGGCCAGTGCAGCAGGCCCGTCTGTAGCCTTTTGGACTGACTGCATTCTCAAAATCCTCATTATTGTCTTGAATGCGCAAGAAATACTAACAGATCTGTAGATCCTCAACCCATCCAATGAGGAATGAAAAACATATCACCACTGTTTTCAATTCAACTATTCTGTTTTGCAGGAAGTAGTTGATCAAGATTCTGGAGTGTAGATCTAGCCTATACCTAAATGTACCACAGGAGATTATTTGAACCAGAGCCCAGTGTGGGCTGCTGCATCTGCATCAGCCATAAGCAAAGCCGTTTATGTCCTTCAGAGCCACTGGACTTTGCTTTCCCATCTTTCTTATGAAGCACATGTGACCCAGACTCAGGTGAAGTCTCCAATGACCAGTGTGGGAGAGCCTTAGGTCCTCAAGATGTTCACTGTGTGCCAATCTCTTCTTAATGTCCTTGGTTTATCGAGGACAAACGCCCAACTCAGGAGACAACTTTTCCATTGATAAAAATTTGCGTTGAAGTAAAAATGACATTTTCCCTATCCAAGTCAAAACAAAAATATAGTCATTCCCTAATCCTATTTAAAGCTTCTAACTTTTTTTTTTTTTTTTTTTTTTTTTTCAGAACCGGGGATTAAACTCAGATCCTGGCGTTTGCCAGTCAAGCGCTTATCCTACTGAGCCATCTCCCCGGCAAAGCTTCTAACTTTTTCAAGGAAACTTTTACACATACCTATTTTCTTTGGCCTGTCCATGAGGCTCTTCATGATTTCATCTCTTCCCATCAACAGTGAATGACCTAAAATAATTATATTCAAAACCCCAAGTGAAGTCCTGTGGCTTTCAGGTGTGGTTTCGTATGACTGTACCATCAGCGCTCACATAATAGTCTTGAAGAATCATGTATCTTGTAGGACCACAGTTGCAGGGTTTAGAGGCCACTGTGCTGGTGTACTTTGAAGGCTCTTGCATTTGTAGCCCAAACTGTTGATCGCTTCATAATGCTGAAGGCGGTAGATACCTAGAAAAAGTATCTTTTGGCTTCGTGGTGAAACCGCTGCTACATTTGGGTGTCATCTGTTTCACTGACTTCTGACAAGTTAAAGTTGGGGTTGTCATAGCCTAGTTTTATCCTGGCTCTAGCATCTTTCTCATTATAAAGACACATGGCACAGTGTGGGGTCTCCACTTCTATTGTCTTACTAAAGTTATGGAAGTCCACTCGGTATTTCCCTTCCTTGGTCTTGGAAACTATGGGAACAAAACGGTAGCCCCAAAGCACCTCCTCTGGGACATAAGATGTGCGGACTTGGCAGGTAGCACTGGTTGACTCCACCGTGCCATCTAAAAATACCACCAACTCAAAGTCCTGCTGGGAAAGGGTCTCTGCTGCCATGTGGAAGAAGGGACTGTTGTGGTCAATGACGTGGTAAATCGTCAGTGGGGAGATGAAGAATAGATTTTCATTGCCAGCATCAACTATGAAGTTGATATTGGTCTGATCCAAAATAATGGTTTCCCCTTCAGGAGTGACTGTAGTCTTCAGAAGCTTCCCATAGATGTGACCTCCAATAAGGAGGCTCTTCCTAAGATTAGCCACCCGGATTAGGAGGCAGAGCTTCCCAGCCCGCTTACTGATCACTGCATTCTTGCTGAATGTAATGGTCTTGGCACGTTTCTTGGGCCTGGAGATTTTGGCTAAAATGGCACCACACATAAAAGAATTGACAATAACGCCAAGAATGGACTGGAATATTAGTAGAAAAATGGCAGTGGCACATTGTTCTGTCACACACCTGAATCCATATCCAATGGTCACTTGAGTTTCAAGAGAAAATAGAAAAGCTGAGGTCATGCCATTTATGTTCTCCACACACGGGGTGTGGTTGTCAGAAGGATGGAATTCTGGGAGATCTTGGTGAACATAGGCCACCACATACCACAGGAGACCAAAGAGGAACCAACTCCCCAGGAAGGCTGAGATGAAAATGGTCATTTTGTATCTCCATTTGAGGTCAAGCACGGTGGTCCAGATGTCCACAAAAAATATAAGCCTGGACTGTGCGTCCACATTGCCAAATTCTATATTGCATCGCCCATCTTTGGAGACCAGCCTCGTTCTCTGCCGAGAACACCGAGAAAAGTGAGTGACAAGCCATTTGCGAAGATGCTTGAACATCCTTTCTGTCAACGCCCTGATCTGAAAGCACATCAAAGGAGAACAAAAATAAGATGACGTCTGTAGCAGAGTGAGCCTCGTGACTAACATGCTTTACTACCACACGTGAAGTTGACATTCAGACTGCCTGACTCATTGAACACTGGGGCAAGATTTTGGAAGCTGTTTCCAATAGAAACTTTCTCCAGGAAGGCTTAAATGTGAAACTAACAACGAAGACAAAAATGGACACATGCCAAGAGATCATATATTCAGGTATCTCCTGACCTAAGTCAATGTCACATCTTAAAGATATTTGGCCAAAATTAGTTTTTAAAAATAACTGCAGGGCTGGCCACATAACTCAGCAGATCAGATTAAGCTACCTATTTAGGCAGATTCAGGGCCAAGGAGTTCGATTCTGGGCGTGCTGGTGCTGGCCCTGCCCCAGGGATGCCCTGAGATGGTGGTGTAGACTGGGCGTGGTGGCACGCACTTGTAATCCCAGCACTTGGGAGGCTGTGAACAGGAGGATCACTATGAGTCTGATCTTCGCAGTGAGACCCTGTAAGCCCCATCCTAAAATACAGTCAATCAATCAATCAATCAATCAATCAATAATTGTGGGGTGGGCCAGATAGCTCAGCAGACTAAAGTGCCTGCTTAGGCAGATGCAGGGGCCAAGGTTTTGATCCCTAGACTGCCCTGCTGGTCCCGACCCAGGGGTGCACTGAGATGGTGACTGAGACTGGGTATGGTGGCACATGCCTGTAATCCCAGTACTTGGGAGGCTGAAAAACAGGAAGGATCACTACCGGTCTGATCTGTGTAGTTAGACCCTGTAGACCCTGTACTAAATACTAAATAAATAAATAAATAAATAAGTAAAAATAACTACGGCCTATGCTGTTATTCGATATCTTTATGCAAGCTACCCCCTTTTTCTTTAATAAAGTTAGCCTCCTGATAAGAAATAATTTCCATAAGCCTGAAAAAATATATTTTGTGAGCTATAAAAATAAGTAACTGGAAAAAAGAAACATTTATCAACATTCTACCTAAATTATCTTGTATACTCATTTGTTGATAAAGGGAATTGACCCCCAGAAAATTTCAATGATTTATCCTAGGTTAAATACCTAACCAGTGGCAGGATAGAACTGGAGCAAATGGCTTCCTGCCTGCAGCCCAGGGAAACCTCTACTGCGCTGTACCCCAGCTTGCAAATTTTCCATTCTAGACTCAGATTTCCCTAACACACATTATGATGAATACAGAATTGGTCAAATTTCATTGTGTATAAGGACTATTTGGAACAGAGATCAGAACATACCAGACAATGTCATAGACCTTCTCAGTGTATCTATAAACCTACTCTTACTGTCTCTCCGTGGTTTGCCAGTGTTTCCAAAGAGAACAGTAAGAGGTTGGCATCCTATCTCACCTTCCTTCCCTGGCCCAGAGCTACAGAGCTGCTGAGCCCTTTACCTCATCAAGGTCAAAGCACGCTTTCGCTCATTCCTAGATCTCAGATGCTGGTACAGTCAATTAGCACTTACTATTTATTCCACAAATACAAGAGGAACAATTCACTGACTATTCAAAATACTGTCTACTCAATGGTTTCTTACCAATGCATTTTTTTGTGACTTCCATTTTACAGCAAAAGAGGGAAGGGACTTTCCCCTAAATTGTGAGCAGTGTTGAAACTCAGGGGTTACAAACACTAGACTGCTTCTTCCCCTTCATCAAAGAATATCAAGGTGTGTCCCTTAGTTAGCGATGCCTTCATGGTATTTTTCATTAAATGCAAGTATGTTTTTAAAATAGATTTCAAAATCCCCCTCCCAAAATATGTTTATTCATTAAAAACTAGGAAGTGAAACCAACTTAGTGATACATTTTAAACAAAAGTGATATTCCAGTGTGTTGCTCAAGTCCCTAACCTAGGTAAAAACACAGAAAGCTAACTCGAGTGGAAGTGGTGAAAAGAAAACCACCCTGTGGTGATTTGAAATGTAAAAGAGATACTAAAGATACACACATAGGGGTGCTACCAAGAAAGCAAACAGGCATGCATGCCCTCAGGGGCCCTGCCCAATCCTCAAAGAGAATTAGGGGATGTCCCAGGTGAGGAGGCACATGGAGGGAACAGCCTCCCTTCCTTCCCAGTCCCTGCACCTTGTGCATCTGGCGGTGCTCAGTGCTCTGGACACTGACTCTTCCACATGCTGAGAAGTTCGGAGTATTTACCCAGCTCTTCACACAGTGGCTGTCCCCTTAACTTATCAATTCTAAGACAATGTTTATGAACAGAATCCACATTCTCTTTGTCTCACATTTTAATTCCAGAGATACTTTCTAAAACAGCATCTGGGGGCTGGGGAGTTAGCTCAGTAGAATAAGTGCTTGCCTGGCAAGCGCAAGGGCCTGAGTTCAATCTCCAGTTCCACAAAAAAAATAAAAAATAAAAAAATAAAATAATAATAAAACAGCATCTGCTGGGGTTCCCTCCCTCAACACCCTTCTCAAGCTTCTCTGAGATTTGTTCCACTTTTGAAGATTAAGGATATTTCTATAAAATGAGGAAGTACCCCCCCCCGATTTATTTCTTGGATAAGTTTGGGTTCCCATAACTACATCAATTGTAGAACTTCTGGTTGGCCCTACGCAGAGGTGAAGCAAAAACAACCAGCAACCTGTAATGCTTCCCAAAGATTGTCTGCACTTACCAGAGTCCTAAAAATATTCTGGCCTGAAGCATCCATGGCTGGGAAGAGCAAGGAGACGGTGGTGTTGGGAACTGGTCCTGCTGCAGGCTGGTGTCTTTGAGACCCAGCCCAATCTATCCTAGACTTCAGCCAGTGAACTGATGCTAGTTTTTGTTAGCTCGAAAACACTTAATTCCATGGTGGAATTGTGTGACTGAAAAACCACAGTACAAGGTGGTTCTCAGACCAAGCCCCAGGTCAGGTATATATATTTTTCCAAACCTCACATGGCTTGAATACCGTCATGCTAAGACATGACAAACTACCAGCTCAGGTCCCTAGGCAGCAGGTGGGGGCTGGGTCCCAGCGTTGCCCTCCTGCCTTTGCCACGCTCTGCGGCTCTCTCGCTGGGCTCCGAAGTCATGCCACATAACTTTTGGCCAGAATTAGTTATCATGCCTCTCCCAGCTTTATTTTCCAAAACACATGGAGATGCTGGATTTGCCAAGTATTCACAATGCTACAGGCAACTCTAGGAACATAGATGGGGACATATTTGTGAGATGAAAGAAAGATCACACCAGAAAGAAACAAGATACTACACTAATCTCTCTATATAAGAGTCACTGTTATGTAAGAAAGCAGAATTTGAAGGAAGCATTATTGTTGGATTTATTCAAGAAAACCTGGGATTTACTGAAGGTGTTTTTCATATATAGTGGATTAGCCAATGCTGTTGATTTATTTGTTCACAGAGTGAGAAGAATTTAGTGTAGACAATGCAAGGATACAGGACAGATTCATTCACTCACCAAACCCATCATTCACACAGAGAGCCATTATTGCACGTATCCTACTTTGCTTAGATAAAGGGCCTTAATCTTACCATAGACAGAGCCAGTGCGTGTTTTACAAACTATTATGTGCTTAGAGATTGTCCGATGGCTGATCATTACACAACATGCTCAGTTTTTAGGTCCCATTCTATTGAAATCAGTAAATCTTAATGGCAAACAAGAGGCTACACATTAACTAATATTTACCAAGGTATCCTTGGTGGCCAGGGCAAAACAACTGGATCACATCATTGCCAGTTTTTCTTTATGGCTTCAGCCTTCTTGTTCTATAAACAGCTCATTCTCAGAAAATGCTTTTTGTGCACACCCCAAACACTGACTGTACACTTATCCTGGAGGACTTCACTGATGAACAGAACTCTTCTTTTTCTCACAGATCTCACAGTCGAGTGAGAAAGGGAACAAAATACATCACCATTTACAAGGTAATACAGTTTGAATACCCGCCCCCCTGCAAAAAGCACCTTTTCTATAAGATTCCCCATTAGCAACAGAGCCACCATCTGGGAAGACCCTTCAGCTAGAAGCAAGCTCAACATGCTTATATATACATTAATTTATTTATCTATCATTAGTTAACAATGGTGAGTCAACCCTGCTGTGCATGTCAGCCACGGTGCTAGACATCCCAGAAGCAATCATGGGACAATAAAATAGCCATAGTCCTTGTTGACAGGTAGCTCCCGCTGCAGGTGGGTTCAGAAGTGGAGACAAGTCCATAAACAACACTTGCAGGACAATGCTGAAGGCAACACCTGTGTGGAGGACCAGGACAGGGACACCAAGCCAGGGCCTGAAACGACATTGGTGTCACGCATAGTAGAAGCTCTATGAATATTTGCTGAATGGCAATAAACAAATGAGCCAATGTGCTCATAAAGTAAGGCACCTGCTGTCACTTGTGTTGCTCGGGCTGCCCTTGTACTAGAGGTATTTCAGGAGGGCATGGTTGTGCATGTAGTGGTGACTGCCTGCATTTAATTGCACGTGTGACCCATGCAGAGGTGACAGAAGAAAGCAAGAACATGGGAGCTGATAGAAGTTCCAGGTAAACAAATAATAGAGGCTGAGGGACCTTAGTGACAACTTGGGCTATATTATGATGCAGACCTATAGGAAGAGAAACGGTAGAACAGCCAGGGACAGCCCGTAATTCTAAGTAAGTCCCGAGTCTCTTTCATTGGAACACCCTTGAAATTCTTGAAAACAAACAAAATTTCCTCCCATTTCCTTTTATCTGTAATAGTACACAGATAATTTATACTTTAATCAAACCCTCTTCATTCTATGTGCAATACCTGAAGTTCATGCTCATTGCTAACTTGAAGAACTAATTTTAATTTCTTTACAGGCATCCATCTCAGAACAATCCATTCTGAACGGGGGATTGCATGTAGCCTTTATTCCACTGACACCACCGCCCACACTACAGCCATTCATCAGAAAAGCGGGTAGAAGCCGTGTCTTCTATAAT